TCAGTGCACACGGTGCTCCCCCGCTGGAGTCAGGAATCAATCTCCTTCCAGAGTGTAGCTGGCTTAGCTCTTTCCTCGGCAGCATGCGGTGCTGACCACTGTTGGAACAGGAGAGTTGATCCTCCATCCCTCTGTCTGGGCGCCTGAACTCTGCCACGTAAGCCAAATGCTACCGCTCAGCCAGGGGGTGACTTTGCACCCCCCACTCCCAAGCATTTCATAGCTTTACAGATTCCAAACACCAGAATGGACCATTGCGATCATCCAGTCTGAACACGTCTGGCTTCAATTCCAACCACTGGATCGGGCTATGTCCTGGATTACATCAGTGGTTGGGAGCGATGTGGTGCCAAATGCCTGCAACTGGGCAGGGATGCGAAGGTCAGGCTGAGGGCACAGAGCTGCAGAGCGTACGTGGCTCCGGGCATGGCCTCGCCACCCGCTCTTCTCCAGCCGGCTCCGGTGCTGCCGCACACGCAGACTCCAGCGCCGGGATCCTCCGTGCCGTAGCTCCAGCAGAAACGGCCATTCCTAGCCCAGCTGTGTCCTCGAGGCGCACCCTTCCTCCATCCCAATCCCCCCCGGGCTGAGCCCGAGATTGGAAAACGCCCTTGGTGGGTGTGTCCACTCTGCGATTAAAACCCCACGGCTGGCCCGTGCCGGCTGACCCGGGTTTGCAGGACTCGGGCTGAGGGGCTGTTTGCGGGGCAGACGTTCACGCTCAGGCTGGACTCTAAGACCCTGCGAGGTGGGAGTGTCCCAAAACGTCCACACCGCAAGTAAACTCCTTAGGCTAAGCCCCAAGCCAGGTCAGTTGGCACGGGCCAGCCAGTGGCAGTGTAGACACATCTTTCTTGTCCTGGAGCGGTCACCTCTCAGCTCCAATGGGCTCGGTTGCATTTCAGCACCATGGACAGAGCTAGTGCAGCGGTGCCTAGGACCTGTAGCGCAGTCCCCTTGATCCGAATTCCCTTTCTCCAAAAATCCCAGTTATCCGAATCCACATTGGGTGTCCCTCCCCCTGCCCTCTATTAGTGAATTCCCCCCTAAGCACGTCTCAATCATTTGTTTAGCCATTCGCTTTCTGCCCTCCGTTCCCCGTATTTCTATACCACGGAAACTGCAAATCACCGGCGTCCCACGGACACCAGGCTGGGGGCGGGGGAAGCTTTAA